AGGTTTGCTTTGCCTGGGCTCAAGGCCTGCGAAGCTGAGGGAGAGGAAGGTTTTCTTTTCCTAGTTGGTGTTCATGCGGAGGCTTGATGGCTAATCTGAGGAAGCAAGACCCTGCGTGTGTGCCCTGCAGACAGCTCCAGTCCATCTCCTGGGAGAGAGGTGAGGCTTGTAGCTGGGCGTGGCAGCCTGGAGGGAGACATGGTCAGCCTGAGTAGTCACTGGAGTCCTGGCCTGGGCTTCCAGCTAATGCTCCCACCCCGCTGAGAAGAGTTCACCTCTCATAATGAACCTCCCAACAGTCTCGACCCAGGGTTTACACACTGGCCCCTGAAATGAGGCTTTGAATTGGAAACACGCTAACCTGCCCACCTCTGCAGTAGGCATCCTGGCTCTGCCCCCACTGTGACCTGGACTCTGCCTGGGCTGGGAAATTGTCAGTCTTATTCCATGTCTTTGGCATCGGACCAGCAGAAAGAGCAGGAATCCAGAGGTGAAGGCGCCATGGAGCTGCCGTTGCTCCATGCAGCCCTTGATGTCACACCTATGCCAGTGGTTTCCTCCTAGCTGTGCTGTGGCCTGAAGCAGCCGGCCCCTTTCCTGGCGTTGAGTTACCTTGGGCCCCGTCTGACTGCAGCCCTTTGTCCCGGCTCCCTTGGCACTAGACTGCAGCATCTCAGAGAGGAGCCCTGGGGGGTGCTTGCTCTCTTCCTTGCCCGTGCTCTGTGTTGCCTGCTCTCTGCGCCTTCAGAATCTTGCTTCACGGCAGCACTGCATGGCTGGCCAAGTCTTGTTCACCCTAGGTTACTGCCCACAGGCTCGTTACCATCCTGGTTGTGTTGGATGAGCAGCACCAGGCAGGGAGACTATAGCCAACACCAAAGGCTTCTTGGCATCCTTCCTGGGCCTGAGTGGCCGGCATGTCTTAGCTGGGGTGATGAGGGGCAGGTGGCAGGTGGACCGGTGGACCGTCAACCCGGCCCCTTACAGATAGTGCAAGGAAACACTGAAACTGTTGGCATCCATCAGTTGCCACATCAGACCTTGTACCAGACAACCTGGTACGAGGAGGCCAGAGCTGCCATGTGTGGCGGGTGCTGTCCAGGCTGGGCCCAGCCCCTACATTCCCGGCCAGCATCCTGGGAAAGACATGCCTAGGGAACGGCCCCGGCCTGGGGTGGGAGCTCTGCCAGGCTGCCTGCTGTCCCGGCTGGGGCTGCATCCCAGGCGGGCCGAGGGCCGTGGGTCCCAACGGAGTGACCTCGGTCTCCACAGTGTCAGCACCTGGTAGCTCCGCTGTTCACAGGTGTTCACTCTGGTAACTTCTGTAGGCCTTGGCTCAGGATGTGGCATTGTGTTTCATGTTCATCTTTCTCTTACGTGTTCTTTGCCATTTCTGGAACTGTCCTTGGTTTTTCCTTAGCTCATAGGTCATAGATGCAGAAATATTGTAGTACTTAAGGCATCCGCATCAAGCATCAGATGGCTTTGCATCCAGAAAAACATTGATAACTCATGAAGCACCAAGCATGTGTAACGTGGCACTGTACAATAAACGCATCATGTTAAGCTTTTTAATGCCTGTGGTCCTTGTTTGTTCTCACTTCGCCGAGTCGCTGCACGAGAAGCTTGGAGATGGGCTCCTAGCGCTGCCCAGTTCCTAGGACAGATCCTGTGGCTTCGGCCCTCAGGCAGGATTCAGCCACACCAGTAATACAGTCCCTGGCGGCCACGGAGTTTTCCCTGACGGCCTCTTCCGCTTTTCAGAACTCAGGCACGTGGGCCGTGATCCCTCCTCAGTGTCAGCCCAGATGCTCCAGAGCCTTGCAGAAAAGCTTGCAGAGTGTGGCGGACTCTTGATAAAGCACCCGGAGCTGCTTAGGACTGGGCGGGAGAGGAGGCACAGGGCTGCAGAGTGAGCGCCCCACCCCAACCCCGGCGACCCTCCTTGTACAGAATGTTGCTGAGGATGGAGGTCCCGCCCGGCCTGCGGAGCGAGGGGACAGCGCGGTGACGTCTGCCTCTGCAGACTCGCGGGAAGGACCCAGGGTTGGGCCGCCCCCTGTGGGCTCCCTGGGCAGAAAGGGCCCCGGCGGCCCGGGACTCTCGGCCTCAGTCCCATCTCATTTCATCCGCTCCGCCGTGGGCCGGGTCCAGGGGTGTGGGGGGCCCAGGTAGCCAGGTTCCTCCGGCACTCCGCGCCCCTTCCCCGGGCCCCAGCCCCGCCTCTCCAGGGCTTCCTTGTGGAGTTCTGGTGTCACCCGGGCTCCCCGCACAGCCCGGCCCTGAGCGCCCTGAGCGCCCGGCACTTGGAAACAGCCGGCTGAAAGGCCCGTGGGCGGGTCTGCAGGAGCGCGGGTCCCGGCAGGGACTTTTTCCTAAGGTCAAAATGACTGAGAAAGGGAAACAGATTCTGGACATGCAGGCAGCCAGGACAGTGCAACTAAAGACACTCACGAAAGAGGACTCCAGAGCTGCTTCAGAAAGTGGCAAGGAAAAAAAATTTTTTTTAAAAGGGGCAAGGACGATGGGATAAGTGTGCTCCAAGCGAGGGAGAGGACTCCGAGGGAGGTGAATGGCACCGTGTCCTTTACTGTAATAAGTTTTTAAAGTTGAAACGTTCGATAGTTTTTTTATCATACCGCACAGCTCTCAGAGGACCGCTCGGTTCCCTAGAGAGCGAGTTATTGTAAGCGCAGCCACCCGAGTGATGCACGCTGGCCGTGAAGGCAAGGAGGCCCCCGCAAAGGCTACCTGATCAGCAGCCTCCCAAACTCTGAGCTGAACAAACCTCCTTTTCCTGCGGGCTCGTCCTCAGGAATTCTTAATACCAACAGAAAGTGGACTAGAACCCCTCGTCCCGCAGGACTGCAGGCGGGGCTCCTGGCTGTCCCATGCTTGGTAAACAGTGACAGCCGCTCCCAGACCCATGCCTGCCCCGTCCGGTGTCACTGTCTCGCCCACTGTCATCCTCCTCGCCCCTGTTATCACCTGCCAGGTAACACCCAGCCTGGCCCCATCCTCAGCAGCCTCCGCCCATCCCTCCCGCCACCAGTTTGTAACTCTGGCTACTGAGAGCTAGGAGGTGGAGGCGGCACAACTGACTGCGTCCTGCAGGTCACTGGCCGCCCAGTGTCCCTGCCCCACCCCTCTGTGGATGTTCACGCCGGGCTCCCCAGTGCGTATGTTTATGCAGACAGCTGGGGACGGCCTCACAGGCAGTGCCTTCTCCGAGGAAGCTGCTGGCAGCCAGGGCTCAGCGAGGCAAGCAAGGGACACCCCGGGCATCGGCCTGGTCCCCTCTGCCATGCCTGGGTCTAGGAGAATGTGCCCGGCCAAGCCGTCACCTGCCATGGGCCCAGGCACAGGAAGCCGAGACACAGCTGGGGTCCTGGCCCTGTCCCAGCCCTCCCAGAGGCCTCTGGAGCTTAAGCCACCCCAGGGGCGGCTGTCACTAGCAGCCACAGGCCTTGGTCAGTCGGCCACTTGGGGACCTTGGAATCGCCCTTACTGTGGAGGGGGCAGGCACCCTCCATGGGCTCCTCCCCTGCAAAGTGGGAGTGCCACCCCTGCCCCTAGAGTCACAAGAAACTGCTCAGGGGGACTGAAGGGTTACTTGTGGGGAATGAGAGGCTCACGGGTTGCAGGAGGAGGATTTGGAGACAAGGTCTCACCAAGTCACCAAGTTCCCCAGGCTGGCCTTGAACTCCAGGTATGATCCTCCTGCCTCGGCCTCGGAGTGCTGGGATTACAGGTGTGTGCCATCAGCCAGGCTTGGGACTTTGTGTCCTGACGCTCAGAGCCTGTGCCTCCCCCTGCCGGCCCCTTGGCCCCCATGGCCCATTTGTCTCAGAACTTCCTGTGGGCCTTGAAGGCATGACTCAGCCGGGTGTAGTGGTGTAGCCCTGTAACTAGCTGCTCTGGAGGCTGGGGTAGGAGGATCACAAGTACAAGCCCAGCCTGGACAATGAGGGAGACCCTGTCTCTAAATTTTAAAAGGGCCGAGAAGCTGAACGTGGTGGCTCAGGCCTGTAATCTCAGCACTTGGGAGGCTGAGACAGAAGGATCTCGAGTTCAAGGCCAGCCTGGATTTCACAGTGAGATTTGTCTCAAAAAAAAAAAAAAAAAAAAATCCAAAAATCTTCATATAGTACGTAACAGAAGATTTTCAAATCTGGGGAACAATTAAAAGTAAAATAAATTGATTTCTAAAATAACACCGCTTTCCTCACCCTGAGGTTGTTTAGTGATGTTTAGTGCTCAGCTCCTGGTGACAGCGGGGACCTGCCTTGTAGCATCTGCCCATTTTTCTGGTGTCCTCCTCCCCCTGTGCCCAATTTTAAGCAGCCAACATGAGGTCACTGGAAAGCAGCAAAGAACACCCAAGGCTGTCTGCTTTCCCTGGGCACGTGAGCCCCAGGACATGGCCCGAGGCAGGGTTGGTGGCTGCTCCTCCCCAGCACTGCGGCAACTTGCTGAGCCCACCTGGGAAGGAGAGATGGGACCCGGGGGCCCTGTGCCTCAGGCTCCCCCTAGAACACCTGCTGAGACAGTGGGGGGGCTCCCTTCAGTGTCCCCCACCCCAGCAGCTTCCTCTGACCCCAAGAGGCCACCCCTCTGGGCCTCCCACCCCTGGGCACTGTGGCCAGGCCCATGTCACTGGCTGGTGCTGGGGTGGCAGGGGGTTCTGGGGTCCCCATGGGGCACAGCCTTATGGCCTCCAGGGATTGGGGGGCCCAGTCACCCTCTGCAGACCAGCGAGCCCTCTTCCAGGAAGCCCCTTGGACTGGCGCTAGGTTAGGTCCCCACCAAGGCCTTCCCTTGTGGGGCAGTGACATCCCAGTGGCACTTGCTGAATGGCTGTGCTGGTTTCTTTATCTCGCTCAGGCCTTAGCCAAGGAAGAAACAGGCAGAGTCCCTCTCCTGCCCTGGGGACAGGGCAGAGCTGCTGCAGGAGTGGGGCCCGGGCCACCCCTCCGCAACACTCCAGGACTGTCACACACTTACAAAACAGTGAATGCTTTATTCCTGGGTGGCTTTTCTACCGCGATGACACCCAGCAGCGCAGTCTTGTCTTGCCGAGCACAAGCTGCCTCCTGGGACAGCCTGTCCCGTCCCCCGGGGCCTGTGCTGGCACACCTGTGCCCACTGGCAGGCCCGCTGTGCCTCAGTGGACACCGGGTCATGGGGCAAAGATCCACACTGCTCTCCAGCCCCGGCTAGAGGGGTGACCCAGACCCCAGCTGGCCAAGTCCCTGCTGCACAGGTGGGCAGCTGAGGCCATCACAGCGTCACAGCCTAAGTGCAGCGACCTCCTCGCCCTGGTCCCTGCTGCATGGCCACCCGAGGGAGGGGAGCAGCCAGGGTCCTCTAAGCAGCGCCACGTGCAGAAGCTGAGGACACAGGGTCTGTTCTTCGGTGCCAGATGTGGTCAAGAAGTCTCCCTGGAGCTCTGCAGGCGGAAGCTGTCAGAAGTTGGGGAGGTGCTGGGCAGCCTGTGGGGAGGCAGGAGCAAAAGGGGGTGACCAGGGTCTGCAGGGCCAGGTGGGGGCTGGAGTGGTCAGCTGGGTAGGAGTGTGGGGGCCTGGAGTACGTGGCTGGGGCTGGGGTCCACGAGGGGCAGGCGTGGCAGTGCAGCTGGTTTGGAAGGTCCTGAGTAGCGGCTGCAGGCCCAGCTTGGCCCTTGAGGGTGGCACCAGGTGGGCCGAGGGTCCCGCTTGCACCCTGGCACTTGGAGGCCGAGGTCACCCGCTGCTGAGCCGGGCGGAGCGGAGCGACCCAGGTGGTCAGAGCGGCTCCCCAGCTCCAGGCGGCACGATGGGCCTCGGGGCTGAGTCACATCCGTGTCCAGCTGCTGCCGAGTGGCCCGGGGGCGTCACAGGCTGGACGGCTGGGCCAGCGCGGGCCCCTCGGGCCGGGGCTCGGGGCCGCGGGCGTAGCTGAGCACCACGGTGACGGTGGCAAAGGTGGCGGCGTTGACCGGGAAGGCGCGCAGCAGGGTGGACGCCAGGCCCCGCGTGAACACGCGCCAGCCCTCGGCCACGTAGCTCTGGCGCACGCAGTCAACGATGCCGCGGTAGCGCTGGACGCCGCGCAGCCCGTCCGCCTGCAGCCGAGACTTGACCACGTCCACGGGGTAGGTGGACAGCCAGGACAGGATACCCGCCGTGCCGCCCGCCAGCAGCAGCTTGGGCACCAGCAGGCGCGCGCCTGGCTCACAGCCCAGCCCGCGCGTGAGCGCGTCGTAGGCCAGGAAGTAGACGCCGAAGCTGGGCGTCTCGCGCAGCAGCGTGGACACCATGCCCCGGTTCACGCCGCGCAGGCCCTCTCGCCGGTAGATCTGCGCCAGGCAGTGCAGGGCGCCCCGGTACTCGCGAGCCGCGCCCGCGTCCTGCAGCTGCAGCCGCGTCTTGGCCAGCTCCATGGGGCAGCAGATGACGCACTGGATGGCGCCCGCCGCCGCGCCCGCCAGGAACTGGTTCCGCGGGGAGTCGCGGCCCAGCGCCCGCAGCGTGTTGCCCTGCACCCCGAACACCAGCGCGTTGATGAAGGTGAGCCCCAGGAGCGGTGAGCCCAGGCCCTTGTACAGGCCCAGCACCTGCGGGGATGGAGATGGCCTCAGCGTGCCCGCAGGGCAGGTGGTGGCCGCCCCCAGGTGTTCACCACGACCAAGTTCGTGCGCGCGTGTTCCTGGGCACTGAACAACTGGGCCACACCCTCTGCCCTCTTTGGAGGCACTTGGGATCCTCCCGCCTCAGCCTCCCAGAGTGCTGGGATTACAGGCATGGGCCACTGTGCCTCAGTCCAAGCAGCATTTTATCCAAGTCAAAGCCCTGGATCCGAGGCCCACTGCCTGAGCAGGGGCTCATAGGGGCCCCGAGGACCCTCCTTCCCACACCCTGACCTGCCCACCAGGCCACTCACACTCTCCTGCCTGAGGATGGACTGGAAGCAGTGCAGCGTGCCCCGGTACTGCAGCTTCTCCACGCTCTGCACCTGCAGCCGCACCTGCAAGGACAGCGGGGGTGGGGTGGGGTGAGGGGGGACCGTGGGGCGCAGCCGCCTATGGCCTTGGGATCCTAGGGTGGCACAGAGGCGGGACCCACTCTTCAGGAAGGGTGTCCCTGAGATCTCAGACAGCTCGGGGGCACCTCTGGTCGTCACGAGCCTGCGGTGGGCCGTGGACACCTGTCATCCCGTTCACTGCTGCTCCAAGCCACGGCCACAGGGCTCCCACTGTGTGCCATCACCGACACCGGTCATCGGGGCAGGCACTGGGCAGAGCCCTTGGTGCCACTCTCCCAAGGGCCATGGTCATGAGCGGAGCAGCAGCCAGCCCCCCGGCACCCAGCCCAGCCTGGCCCGCCCATGTCAAAGCGCTCTTTGTTGGTGCCAGCTTATCTGCTCCATGCCTGGCTCTGCGTGGGGAGCAGAGGCACAGTTCCTGATCCATGTCACGGGGGAGAGAAACTAGGCCACATCACCCTGGGGAGCCGGCTCCCTGGATCTGACTCAAGAATGCCCGGGATCGAAGCCAGGCTTCGGGCTGAACACCCCAGGCCCTGGAAGCTTCACCCTCGTTTCCCAGCATGGGGTCCCTGCCCATGCAGCCCCATCCCAGGTGGGAAGGCAGAGGGCAGAGGTGTCCAGCCTGTCCATGGTGCTCTCCCCAGGAGCAGCAGCCTGCCAGGCTTCACCTGGACCCGCTTCCTGTTCCCTCCACCAGAACAAGCGGATCTTCAATTGGCAAAGGCACCAAAAAAAAAAGTGTTTTTTTTTTTTTTTTGGTACTGGGGATCGAACTTGGGACCTTGCGCTTGGGAGGCAGGTGCCAGAACCACTGAGGTAAATCCCCAGCCCCAAGTTGTTTTTTTCTTTTGGGTTTTTTGAGACAGGATCTCACTACGTAGTTCAGGCTGGCCTTGAACTCACAACAATCCTCCTGCCTCAGCCTCCCGAGTGTTGGGCTGACAGGAGTGGCCCTGGCCACTGCCCCCAACACCCTTCCCTCCTGGCCAGCCTTCTCTGCTGGGACTGGGCAGGGAAAGGTGGTTTCTAGAGGGAAGTGCCAATGAAAGCCAGGACAGACAGGAAACATGGTGTCACCACACGTACGCCCACAGAGGGACGCCTGGCCACAGGTGTTGGGACAGTGGATGTCTCGAGAGGGGCAGGGGCTCCCAGGTGCGGGACAGGGTTTGGACACAGGGTGTGGGTGCTGAGACATCTGCCTCCCTTCAGTTACATCAAAAGCCAGACCAGGAACCCCCACGGCAGGCGAAGTGGATCCTGCTCTGCCGAGAGCCAGGATGAGAGGGTCCAGCACGTGGCCATTTCTCGGCAGGAATCACGAGGTTTGGGACAAAGACGGCTTTTTTCTTCTGTCTGTATACCCCCGACCTCTGTTACTGTTAAAAAAAAAAAATTGGGGGGTTTTGTTCTTGTTTTTGAGACAGGGCTTCAGTGTGTAGCTCAGGCTGGCCTTGAACTCATGGTGACCCTCTTGCCTCAACCTCCTCAGCGCTGGGAGTACAGGCCTGTGCTACCACACCTGGCTGTTACAATGTTTTTTGTCTTAATTTTGAGACAGGGTCTTGCTAAGTCACTAACCTGCCCAGGCTGGGCTCATACTTAGAATCCTCCTGCCTCAGCCTCCCAGAGTGCTGGGATTACAGGTGTGGACCTCCATGCCTGGCTTCCAATTTTCTTTTAATGAGCATGCTTACCTTTGATATTGGTCAACAGTAAGAGCAGTGAGACCACTGATGACAGCTTCAGTTAAACCAAGAGAAGACACACCAAGATGGCCCCATGTCACAGTGGGTGGCCATGGGGGTCCTGGAGGGGCTGATTCCCAGGAGAAGGCTTGCTCCTTTCTTAATAAAAAGCTCAGCTTTAGGTAGTATTGCCCACTTGTGATGCCCATGGCCCAGTGGCAAAATCAAAGCAAAAAGGTACAGATGGATTTCTCCAAGGCTACCCAAGCGGCTGGGAGCCCCAGGACAAGTGTCCCCAGCCTGTCGGGGATGCGGGAAGGGACCAGGCCCAGCGAGGTCACAGCCTGGCAAGGCCCGGCCTCCAGAAGCTGGCAGTGAGGGAGACCTGAAGTCCCTGTGGCTGGGCACAGCTGCTCAGCGCTGGAAACACCAGACCTAATGTGTCACGCTGCTGCCGCTGCCAGGCTGTCCCTGGCTGCTCCCGGGTGGCCAGCTAGGCACTTCGGGGCACTGGGTGGCCTGGTGGACAGCCCCAAGCCTCAGGGACACCTACTCGCCAAGAAGGCCTGGGCCGTCAGGCTGGGCCCAGATCCACAAAGGAGCTGTGTGCTTCACAGAGCTCGTGGCACCAATGTCCCTGGGGTGGCTGGGCAGCACCCCGGCCCCCGCCACCTCGCCCGGCCCCTCATTTTTCAGATGAGAACATCTGGGCCCAGAGGCAGAGTGAGTGGCCCAAGGTCTGGCGGTCATGGCCTGGACCGGGGACAGCACTTTTTAAGGTCAAAGCCAGCACATAAGGCCAGGCCCTCAGCCTGTGCTGGAGGAGATCCCAGGCCGGAATTAACAAGTTCGTGTCTTTGCCAACAAACACCTGGTTCACTAAAAAAGGAGGAGGCAGGATCCTGCTCAGCCAGCCACAGAGGGCACCGCGCGTGCGCTGCCTCCAGGGTTGCCCAGGCAGAGGGAAGAGGAGCCCAGCGCCACGGGCTGTGGGTCCAGAAGGTGTGGGCTGCATCCCAGGGCGGAAGCCCGGACAGCTGGGAGCCCCTGAGGCACTCTTGGGGTGAGAACCCGGAGCTCTGGTTTATCGAGGCTGGGCGCCTGCCTGGGACCTCCGTTCCCAAAGTGCAGGCCACGTGCAGGAGGTGACCCTCAGGTCTTCAGCCGTGGGCACCTCCAAGGTGACATCAACCTCAAACGCAGCTTCTCAAGAAAATCAAGCCAGGCATAACCGGAGCACTCTGGGAAGCTGAGGCAGAAGGTTTCCTGGAAAGTTCGAGCCCAACCTGGGCAATTTAGCAACTTAGTGAGATCCTGTCTCAAAATCAAAACATTAAAAAGGGCTGGGGATGTAGGTCAGTGAGAAGGCCCTGGGTTCAACCCCTTGTACCACGAAAGGAACAAAGAAAGGAAGTAACTGCTCTGTGAAGATCATGTTAACGGGAAATAGTGACAACTTTTGGTTTCCCTGTATTTGTGTTTCTTCTCTGAACTTTTCTCTTTCCAGAGGGAGGCTAGGACGTTCTGTACTGGGACAGCGTGGGCACCCTCCTGCCCCCAGCAGCTCGGTCTCAGCTGGCCAAGCCGGAGAAGGAACCTGGCCGTGAACCTGCCGTGCGCTTCGGTCGGCCAGCCGGGAGGTGTCAGAACACGCCAGAGGAAAGTTCAGCTCCGCTCCACTGTTCCGTGGGAAAGCGGCTGCACTGCAGAACTCATTCCACACTCTTTCCAAGCCCCACGGGAGGAGCTTGAGCCTTCTCCACAGGCCTCCAGGACAGTAACTCACCTTCACCGTGTCGAAGGGGTGTCCCACGAGCACGCCCGCCACACCTGGAGGAAGACAGGGCGACTCGTGACCGAACACCTCAGGACCTCGCTGGGGTGGGGTAGGGGGACTGGGCAGGAGCTGCTGGGGAAGGGGCAGTGACCTCGGCCTGAGTGCTTGCAATCCTCCTTCCAGTGGGGGGAGCATCCCAAAGTCCAGCCACACCCGTCCAGCGCCCACCTGGTGTCCACCCTTACGGCCCCGTGGCTCACTGGAGTTGGGGAGGCTGACCCCGGAGATTGCCCTGAATGCTGCACACAGCATTTCTGGGGTGCCCCAGTGCTCTAATGCAGGGTGGCCACACCCCCTCCCACATCTCTGGGCAGCGGGCCCCAGGAAGTGCTGGCCCCAGGAAGTGCTGGCCCAGAGCTGAGGTTGAGTGTGGTGGGTGTTAGGGAGCCGGCTCAGGCCCGGGGAGGCATCTGGTGACTTTGCAGTCACGCCTGGCTGTTCCTCAGTTCAGACCCTGCCAAAACCCAGCCCGAGGCTGAGGACGGAGCTCCGCCTGGGCCTCCGGGTGGCTCCCAAACTCTTCTCAGTGTCCCACAGGATGTGAACACATCACAGGAGGAGAAACTGAGGCTCAGGGAGATCAAGTAACTGACAGGTCCCAGTGCTCCCCTCCCTACAACTTCCTGTGTGCATTTAACAAAGTTCTACTTTGGGCTGGGGTGCAGCTCTGTGGTAGAGCCCTTACCTAGCATGCAGGAAGCCCTGGGTTCCACCCCTCAAAAAAGGATCCCTCCCTCCTTTCCTCCCTCTTTGCCTCTAAGCTGGGGACTGAACCCAGGACTTCACACGGGATTCCCAAGCATTCTACCTCTGAGCTACAGCTTCAGCCTTTTTTTTTTCAAGACAGGGTCTTGTTCTGAAGTCCAGGGTGGCCTTGAAAGCCTCAAACTCCTGTTGATCCTCCTGCCTCAGCCTCCCCAGTGCTGGGATTACAGGCATGTGCCACCACACCCATGAAGTTTTGTCCAGCTCTTAGTTCTGAATCTTCTCTTAACTGTTTTACATGTTTCTTGGAAACAATCTGTAGCTGGCTTTTGTTCCCAAGCTAGTCTGATTTCTCGGATTTCACCGAAACAAATGAGAGACCTGATATTATGCCATCTCTTTTGATGTGATTTATTGTGCTCTTTTGGCGGTTTATCCTCTGCTTTTCAAATTTCTAAATTCAACGAAGTGCTTTCTTTTTTCTAACCCTTCTAATCATGACCGGCAGCCAGGTAAAGACCCCAGCACCCCAAGGTGTTCCGTGCCCCTCTGGCCCACCTTCTTATGACCTTCAAGAGACTCCAAGGTTGAGCCATCCCCTCTGTGGGCCTCGGAGCAGGATTCCCGGGGGTGTCCAGGCCCTCAAGGTTGTTTCTTTGGCAAGAATTTACTCTGCGATTCCATCTGTGGGTTTCAGGAATCTCACCTTCGAAGCCCGGGTATCTTTTCCTTTAACCCTGCCTGTGATTCCCTTGTGGCCCTGGCACTGCGGTCACAGCCTCTCTGAATGGGGAAGCTTCTCTGATTATCAATTCATCAGATTCCCCAGCTCCAGCCCTGCTCCCTCCCCAGGCCCTTTTTCCTCCTGGCTTCCATCTGTTTCCTACCTTTTTTGTAGTTCAGACAGGCCTTGAACTCCCTATATACCCCAGGGTGGCACTGAACTCCCAGCAATCCCCCTGCCTCAGCCTCTTGAGAGCTGGGATTATAGGCATGTGGCACCATGCCCCACTTTCATTTCCACTTTCTCCCCTCACTGGATTGGTGTCCTCAGGTGGGGCTGAGTGCCCCAACCAGCACATCCTGACAGTGGGGGCGGGGCTGCCTCCCCCAGAGCTTTGTCCTTTCCACCTGGATGACAGATCTGTCCCCTCCGGGACACTGCCTCAGGACTATTTCTCTGTGCCTCTTGCTGTCCATGCCCCACCCAGAGCCCTGCCTGTGTGGCTTGCTGTGGCCCCTGAACTGGAGACTGAGTCCCCCAGTGAGAGGGATTCATTCCAACCCTTCCACTGCTGGGCAGCGCAGGAGCAGTCCATTGGCCACCCAAGGTGCCAGCCACCTCTGAGGGCCATCATAGGAAGTGCCATCCTCCCTCCTGAGGAATCTGAACCAGGAGCCAGCAGGAGAGGCTCCCAGTCCTCCTACCCGATCTTCCAGGGAGCAGCCTGACCGGGAAGGGCCAGGTCCTGGGCATGAGGCTGCCAGCCTCTCCCAGGGAGCTTGTGCAGCTGAGGCCAGAAGGCAAGCCTGGCCACTGGGCTTAGCTGCCCCCTGAGGCCCTGTCCCTCCACAGGAGCACAATTTGACCCTGCACCGGTCTCCCCACCTCTCTGGATGAGTCCTGGCCTGGGCGACTTCCACCCTCACCCCCTGAAAAGCTCAGGCCTGCACCTGGCCAGCCGTGATGCAGGCGGGCATCACTCAGGGGTGGCACTCAGACCAGGGCCTGCCTGGGAGTGGCTAGGCCACAGCTATGGAGTGAGCCTGTCTCGCCCCTATCCCTGGGGTACCTGGTGGCAGTGGGGCGCAGGGGACATGGACAGTCCAGGCAGGGGCTTTCTGAGCTGAGCCACAGCCCCAGGAGGGGTGGAACAGCCTGGGGGTTGGGGTCTCAGAGCAGCCCTGGCCTAGGGTGAGTACATACAGGAGCCACTCTTCCCAAGGGAGTGGAGAGGGGCCAGTGAGTCCTCACGGGGGTGTGTGGGGGGAACTGAGAGATGAACCCAGAGACAACGACCCTTCCTGCCCCCACCCAGCACCAGGAGGAAAAGCCCCACCAGTTGGCAGAAAGCTCTGGGCTTTCACTCTCCCCTCCCGTGGGCTCCAAAGGCCTGAGCGGGTAACAGCCTGGGAAGCTGATAAACCTCTCGAGACACCTCACTGCCCTGGATGGCCCGCTGCCCAGCAATCGTCCCTGCCCGGGAGGTGAGGAGCACAGATGAGGCTAAAGAAGCAGCCAGTCTCTTCCCCCAAGGTGCTCCGCTGGCCCACAGCTGAGGGTGGAGTTAGAGCCAAACACAGCAGATGAGGGGTCACAGGGCGGGTGGGTGGTGGGAGAGGAGCGGCTGGCCCAGCACCGGCACCGCGCGGCTGGACTGGGCTTGCTTTGGCCCCACTCACCCTGCACTTCCAATGGCCACACCCGCTCTCTGTTAACGAGTGCTGCACACGTTAGCTCTCCAGGGAAAGCAGAGGCAGCAAAGGCCCCGGCGGTGAGCGCCTCGCCCACGCCCACTCCCCGCCGCCGACGCCACCGCCGCCGCCGGGCCCCCAGCAGACCTGCCTGCCCCGCACTCAGCCCCTCTGGGCACAGGCTGGAGGGGGCGCCTGGGGTGGAGATGCCCACACTGCTCGCCCACGTGGCGTCCACACTCGGGCAACCGCCCCTGCGGCCCCAAAGCTCAGGCTGGGGACGCATGGCAAGCGGGACTCCGGGGCCAGGCAGCCGATCAGAAGGCCGCGAGGGTCCGGACAGCGGCGGGACGGGGTGTCAGGTCGGTCCGCAGCTCCGGGAGGAAGGGGCTGGGCATCGTCCCAGGCGTCCCCGCCTGGCTGGGCCACAATGCGGCCGGCAGTCCGCGGGCACCTGGGCGCTGCCAGTGCGGAGCCCGGAGCACGGTGCCCAGAAGGCGGCGACCGGCCGCACGCGCCTTACCCCCCGCGCAGCCCGCCAGGAAGTCGAGCGCCATGGCCCCCGGCGAGCGCCTCCGCTTGCAGGCTCCCGGCCGCGCCCGCTGCTTGCCGGGACCCAGGCCGGCTGCCGCCTCGAGGCGCGGAGCCAGGTAGCGGGGTCGGGGCGGCGGCGCTGGCCCCGCCGTCTGCCGCCCGCTCCCAGCCGGGCCCGGGGATCCTGCACCTCGGGCAGTGCGCCCCGCCCCGGGCCCCGCCCCCCAGCCGGGTGCAGAGCTCAGCCAATCGGCGCTCAGGACGCGGACAACGCCCGGGCACCGCGCTCCGCCGCTGCGTCTCATTGGCTGGGCGCCTCGGGTGGGCGGGGACGTGGCGGGCGGGGGACGCCCTGAGCCTCAGACAAAGAGTGGGCTTGGTTCGTCCGCCCGTCTGGGAGCTCGTCTGCCCGAGAGCTAGCGAGTGTGGCCGCGGAGCGCGGGGTGCGGGCGGCGCTCGCTCGTGCCTGGGCCCTGGAGCCCGGACTCGGCTCGGACCCGACGCCGCCTCGAACCTCAGCGTCCTCGCCGGTGCCGACTGACGGGCGACGCCGAGACCCTGCGCGGCCTGCGGGCCTGACCGGACCGCTGGGCAGCCAGGGCGGCGCACGCAGGGACCCGGGGCTCAGGGCGCGCCCTCGGGCACTTCTGGCGGGGTCCAGGGCAAGGCGGGGACGGGCGCGAACTTGCACACAGATGGTGCGAAGGGGCCACGGGAGCCGCGGAAGGTGGTGGAGGGAGGGAGCTCCAATCCTGGGCGCTCGCTGCACCGGGCCGCCCAAGGGCACAGACTTGGTATCCGGAACCAGCAGGCTTCCGAGCAGAACGAGCCTGGCTCCCGGGGTGTGGGGATACTCGGGGTCGCCGTGGGGAGCTGTGGGCGTGTGGCCGCCACGCCGGTGGGTGGGGTGGGAGCTGGTCGCAGGAGTCCCTGACAGGCACGGGGGCCCCGGGCCTTGACCGCGGCCCCCGACCCAGCTCTCTGGAGGCGGCGGTCGGCTGGCCGAGCACGTTTTCCTTGCCGAGAGCTGGGGAACAGCCTCGGGCTGGGGTCCTTTTCCCTCCTTAGGAGCTGCGGTGCAGGCCCGCGCCACACTAAGCTTGTACCCTGCGTGGTTGTTTCGGGATCAGCCTGGGAGTCCCGGTGAAATTGAACCTGGTTTCAAAAGTTGTGCGCATTGGCCACCAGGCGACGCACGTTGGTGTTTGTCCTTTGGAGGCCAGGGGACCCCACGCTCATCGCAGTAGCCCTTTATCCCCAGAATCAAAATGCAAGGCTCTTTGAGCAAAGACCCAAAGCCCAGGGCTGCTGACTCCTAGTCCAGTGCTCGTGATTGCTGCTGGGCCCTGAACTGGGGGTCTGGAGGCCTGGGTTTGAATGTCACCAGCCTCTGGCCCAGCTGGATGCCTGTGGCTGTGGGGTCCCTTGGGCCAGGCCCTCCCGAGGCAGTGGCCGAGATGCTGGGCAGTCTACATCCTGTGACAGGCCCCCGGAGGGGCACAAGGAAGCCTCTTGATTTTTGTCCTCCCGCCTCAGCCTTCCAGAATGCTTCACTTATAGGCACCATGTGCCTCCCGCTGGGGACAGGGCAGAGTCCTTGGCCTGGGGGCAGTGGTTGGGAAGAGACCAGCAGGAAGTCAGGCTGACACCAAGTGGGTGTTCCACGCCTGTGTTGTGACATCACCGGTTCATTGCATTTCCTGGGGATACAGTTACAGCACAGAGTGTCCTCTCCCTGTGTGGGGCCAGCCAGTCCCAAGGAGAAAACAGTGTTTTGATTCTGAAATGTCTTTTATGATTTCTTATGACCACAAACAGGAAAAACGAGTTGATCCCTCTCCCAGAACCATGTGGGGCTGGCAGTGGGCTGGAGATGCAGTTGGGGTTAAACCCAAGCTGGGGCCTGGGTATAGCCCCTGCCCTTCCCTTGCCCTGACACCCCTCTGGAGCTCGGCTTCACCTTGGAGCCCACACCCCAGGCCCATGCCTGCCCCAGGCCCTTTCCATGCTGCTCCTCCAGGCCATGTGGACAGCGTCAGAACTGGGTTCTGTCCGGTTCCCGCCTCTTCCGAGGGCTCCCCCGACTGCCCTGCTCCGACTGATGATGCCCCATCTGTATCTGGAAGTCCCACGTCCCAAAGCGATGGCATAGGAAGCGACTCCTCCCCGGCTGCCAGCTGACCCTTCTCCAGGGACATGTGGTTGTGAAAGAGGCTGAGAGTCGGTCCAGTTTTTCCAAAATGTATTTTTAGGAATAACAGCAGACGCAGTTCCTCCTTGCTGAACTGCGTTGACCCGGGCAGACAGGGGTGAGGTGTGGTGGGGGTCCCAGAGCCAGGCCTGCCCCAGCTCTGGCTCAGCAGAGATGCCGCCCCCAGCAGCCTGGGGAGAGGTGGGGTCCGGCCTGCTGTCCCAGCTGCCGCAGTCACAGGTGTCCCCTGGACCTCAGGTTGGAGCCAGGATGTGGGTCCCTGGGTGGGGACCTGCATCGTCCAAGGGGAAAACAGCCCAGACTGGAGGAGTCAGGGGCTGGGGATCCAAGCTGCATTTCTGTTGTTTTTTGAGCAGGGTCTCGCTCTGTAACCCAGGCTGACCTTGAGTTTACAGTGATCCTGCCTTGGGCTCCTGAGTGGTGGGATTGCAGGCCTGCACACCCAACCTGCATTTTGTTTTTTTTAGTATTTTAAGATTTATTTTTGTAAAAGCATGTTGACAAATATTAAATGTTTTGTCTGCATTCTGAACAATAAAACAAATAAAAAACACAAAAATCCAACATTAATACTGATCTTCCATGCCTAATTTGGATTTAGATATTGAGTACAGTGGACCCTCAAGTTACCACTGGCCTGACATACAAACAACTTGGGTTAATTAGGTTAATGAAGATCCATCTGCCTCTTGTTATCTATAGTGGGTACCCAGGTAAACGTCCAGATCTCAGCTGTACTGACTTAGTTCCAACCAGCCCTGGGGAACCGATCGAGTTCGTAAGTCAAGGGTCCACTGTATTTTATAGAAACTTTCAGAGTTTTTTTTGGGGGGGCTAATTCATACTGGCCTTGAACTCACTATGTAGCCCAGGCTGGCCCTGAACTCCAGCTTCTCCTGCCTCAGCCTCACGAGTGCTGGGATTACAGGTAGGCACCACCACGCCTGGCCAGCAGTCATCATACTTTCATTGTATGTACTGTTATTTCTTACCAAACCCTTCAAAAGCTGGTGTTAAGAGTGTTTCTTTTCTTGAGTATTCTATAACATGCTTCTTCTTTTTTTTTTTTTTTTGTTTTGAGACGGGGTCTCATTATGTAGTTCAGGGTGGCCTTGAACCAAATTTGTAGTCTAGTCTGGCCTTGAACTTCCAACAATCCTGCCTCAGCCCCCTGAGTGCTGGCATTACAAGCATGTGCCATCATGCCCAGCTAACATGTTCTGGTACCGTGGATCGAACTCGGGTCCTTGCGCTTGTGCAGCAGGCAGCGAAACCACTGAGCTAAATCCCCGGCCCTAACATGCCGTTTTGAATTAACCTTGAAAACTTCAAAGCATGAATGAAAGGTACATGAGTAGAATACTCAAAATATGTTTTAACAATTTAGTTTGCTTATGACAGAAACACCTTTAAAATGGCAAAGAAAGAAAGCCCTATAAACCTTATGTGTGAATATAAAAGGTGTTTTGGGTCCAATTATTTCTTAGTACAAATAATATACCATGTCAATTTTTCAAATTCACAAAAGCATTAAAAATTGCACTTTATAGTTGTTAAACAGTGCATTTATGTGGTAGAAGAAGATAGAAGAAGACCTACAGAAACAAAATTTCAAATTATTCTAAAACCTAAAATAGGGCTGGGGATTTAGCTCAGTGGTTCCACCTCCTGCCTTGCAAGTGGAAGGACCCGAGTTTGATCCCTGGTGCCAAGAAAAAAAAAAGAAAGAAATAAAACCTAAAATAAAAGATTTGTACCACCCCCCACCCCCGCCATGACCCTTGTAAATAGAATCAGCCTGCTCCATCTTTTCCCTTCCCTGGTCCCCAGGTGTAAATAGATGGTTATAACTTTTTTCTTAAAACGTTGATTCGCACCATCCAACCTGGCCCTGCCCACTCCTACAGCTGTATCTCCACTTCTGTCCTCTGCTCCCAAGGCCCCTCACTCCTCTCCCAACCCTGGAGGGCCTGGGGGAATGGGGAGAACTCCTGATGTCTTAAGTTTCCACAGCAAGGTTTGCCTGTGTACAGACCTCCATTCAATAAATTATTGGCATGAAAACCTGAAAAGAAAAGATTTGCAGATTAAGAAATCACCACTGTTTCTTGGAAAGTCGGCCTTACTCATGGTCTTGAATGCACTTTAATTGCCTGACATATGCTTCAGTGCTTAAAAAAAAGACTAGCTAAGGGCTGGGGATTTAGCCCAGCAGTTTTGCCACCTGCTGCCCAAGCGCAAGGACCTGAGTTTGATCTCCGGTACCAAAAAAAAAAAGACTAGCTAAATGATTTAATAAGATTTTTATTTTTTATTTTTATTTTATTTTATTTTTTTTTGGTACCGGGGATCGAACTTGGGTCCTTGTGCTTGCACAGCAGGTGGCGAAACCACTGAGCTAAATCCCCGGCCCCTAATAAGATTTTTGGAACACACCTCTGGATAGACATGCTTCACACGATAGTTTTCAATTAAGGAGAAATCACTGGATAGTTTTCCTCACAGTTTATGATCGACTGGTTAATGGATTAATGATTTATTCAGCAGTTGAGATGGCAGAAAACCAACCAAAGGAAGAACGTCATTCTTCATTGTGCAGTTCTGTCCATTAGTAATGCGAAGCAGAGAATCTACAGCCACCCCCAAGCTGCATTGTTGTTTTTTTTCTCCTCCAGTACAGGGGATCAAACCCAGGACTTTGTGCTTGTGAGGCAGGCGGCGGCACCACTGAGCTAAATTTCAGCCCTAAACTGCATTCTTAATGGCTTCCTCGAGGACCTTGGGACCAAGGACTCCAGTGGACACGGTCTCAAGGGCCCCTAGGAGCTCCGACTCCCTGTCCTGGTTGTGGTGCGTTGAGGCCTCAGTGTGAGGCCCTCCCGGCCGTGTGACACCAGGCCCTCTGCCTCAGCTGCGTGTGACACGGCTGGTGATGCTTCCAGGGCCTCCACCCCTGCCCGCGGGAAGGGAGAGAAGGGACAGATTCAGGTGGTTCTGGTTTAATGAACCGCCAAAGCCCTCCTAAGGCCCCTTTTGTGAGTGGCTGCCTTTCCGTGTATCCCCCGGGCCAGCCCTCAGCCAAGCTGCCGGCCTTGGCTCACCCCGCGCCCGCAGGAGCCCTGCAGAGCCGGGTGTGCTGGCTCATGCCTGTGGTCCCAGAATTATTGGAGGCTGAGGCAGAAGAGTTACAAGTTCCAGCCCAGCCTGGGCAATTTATAGATTTACCCAAACCTTACCTCAAATAAAGATCTGGGGATGTCACTCAGTGCCGAAGTACGCCAAGAGAGCAGAAGGGGGCTCTAGCCAGGTTAGGAGGTGATCAGAAACCCAGGCCAGAGCTGGGTAAGCAGACACGAGCTGTTGCTTCTGAGGTGAAAGGGAGCCCAAGGGGCTGGTCAGCCGAGCGGAACCGGAAGGCCACGGAGATGCGAGGGCTCAAGCCCCTGCACTGGCCGAGCTGGCCGTGGTGGCAGGTGGCTGTCCCTGGCCTCTGATCGGGCGGGCAGGCCGGAGGAGAGCCAGGGAGGGCAGTGTGCCTGCCTGGCCCAGGCTCTGCGCCATCCCATGAGCTGGATTTGACACAGGAGCTGGCGGGGGGGAGGGGCGGCTGGCACAGAGGGTGCCTGGAACTGAGCTGGGGTGGGGGTGGCATTCGGGGAGCCCGGTAGCTGGCAGAGGAGGGGCTGGGGGAAGCCACAGCACCTGGGAACCTGGCATGGGCCTGTAGCTCCAGGGCTGGGGCGGGCAGGTAGGTGCTAGCTCTGGCCCTCCCTCCGCACCGCCTGGTCAGCGGATGGGCTGTCACCCCCACTCGGCGGCCACCCTGCCCTCCAGCTGCGGCCACTGCACACCTGTCCCTTTCCACAGCTGGTGGGGACAGGCTGCCGGGACCTGATGGGGCTGCTGCGTTTGTGTCTCAGCTCCTGGCTCCTGGGGTTTCTTTGGCGCCCCCCAGAGGGCGGAGTCCGACTTCCTGTCCCAAGGGTGAGGGGAACCTACCTAGTGCTCCCTCTGGTGACAGTGACCTGGGGGCACTGGGGTCTTGGCCCCTGCTCTGGGAGAAGGCTGCTGCCACAGGAGGACCCTGAAGCCGTCCGGCAGGCACGGTGGTGTGGCCTCCAGCCAGAGCCGCCGTGTCACCCCAGCTGGGCCCCAGCTGGGCCGGTCCCGGGGGCCTGACCCTCAGATATCATCGGACATTTTACTGTTCCTGTATGCAGGGCCTTGTTACAGGATGATCCAGATGTGGGAAAATCGCCACAGTGAAGCAAACGAACAACCCCACCTCCCCACATTTGTTGCTTCTTTTGTTCCTGCGGCAAGAGCAGCTCATGTCTCATTTGCTATGAATCCCATATGCAGTACGGTTTGTTTGGTTGTTTTTAGTGCTGGGGATGACCTCACACATGCTAGGCAGGCTCTCTACCACTGAGCTGCATCCCCAGCCCTTTTTATTGTGGGACAGGGTCTCAGTGAGTGGCCCAGGCTGGCCTTGAACTTGCAGTCCTCCTGCCTCAGCCTCCTGAGTAGCTGGGGTTACAGGACTGTGGTGCTGGGCCAGCGTTTTGCAGGGCACGTTTATTACCTAGAATCCTCAAGGTGGATTTAGAGCTCTAGGCTGGGGCAGGGCTCTGGAGCTGGAAGTGTGGCCAGCAGGGGGCGCTGTGAAGAGCAGCTGAAAGGGCTGAGGAGCCTGGTGGGAGACTGGGCGGATGCAGGTAGCAGAGGGTCTTGCGCCTGGCACTCACTTCCTGCAGAGCCCAGAGCTGGCGATCTTCTCTGGGGCCAGGCTACGCCCCACATGTGCCCACCCCGGGCTCCTGAGCTTGGGAAATCCTGGGCGCTTCCTCGTTCCCCGAGTGCTGTCCGAATGGCACAGTCTTCTAAGATTAAAAAGGTGGCTCCCGAGGCTGTCATGCGGCTGCGGTGGCACCAGGACTGGGCGCGGTGGTGAGAGCCGCTGTCCAGGGAACAGGAGTGCCAGCAGCTGCTGGGTCCTCAGGAAGTTTCGCTGTGTGGCGTTGCCCAGGAGTCACCAGCAAATCAGAGCCGAAGCCAGAGGGTCCCTCAGTGGGCACCGCCTTGCTGCCCGGGGCACACCGGAGCCCCTGCAGCGCACCAAGCCCGGGTCAGAGCCTCTGGAGCAGGAGAGGTCCCCAGCTTGTTGCCCCGGGGCCTCTTCCGGGAGTCCTTGGGACACCTGGACGGTCCCTGCAGGGAGCAGGCAGGAGGGGACGGCCAGGGCCAACCTCAGAGTGGATGCCTGGGTCCTGTCCACCCAGTGGGGCCATTGCAGCTCTTGCTGTGTTTGGGGTCTGGAGGAATCTCCAGTTCTGTAGCACTGGCGGGGAAAGCCACTTCTAGATGATAACATGAATTTTTTGTTTCTGGGAAAAATTAAAATGGACCAGGTATGTTTGACCCAGCATTCTCCCTTCCTCACTTCCTTACCAAAGCAGAGAAGCCACCAAGGCGTGTTTAGAAGAGCAGGGGTCTTTCTGGTTGTCGTTCGGGCTGGCCTTGAACTCACAGCAGTCCTCCTGCCTCAGCCTCCCAAGTGCTGGGATTATTGGTGTGCACCCCCATGCTTGGTTTAGAGGAGCACTTTTAATGATAAACCAAGAAGAAGCCCCAGTACCTCAGGGACACACTACGACTGTAACGGTGGGTGCTGTGTACAGAGCCTGTGGGAGAGTCAGGGTCCAGAGAGGTCAGGCCGCTGGCCCGAGGTCACACAGCTGGCAGGCCAGAGCCCCAGGCTGGGCTAGGCTGAGGGTGTGCCTGTTCCACTCGGGGCTCCCTGGCAGAGGCCTCTGCCTCCCCGCCACCTCCGGGCCAGGTGACTTCCAGGCAGGAGGCGACCCTTGGTTGGTGGGCCTTTCGTAGCTGCAGTTACCCCACAGTGTGCTTTTGCTGCTTTCTTTTCCGGGCGCTGGAGTCAGCACACACATGGCCCTCTTGCTCCTACGCCCTTCGGTCCACGCCTCTGTCACCTGTCCAGCTCCTGTCCATCTGCCCAGCCTTCCCTCCATCTCTCCGCCTGTTCTGCCTGCCACACACTCCCTCATGCCCACTCGGCCTCCGAGGGGCCCGCCCTGCCTGGCACCAGGCCTCTGCCCTGCGGCCAGAAGCTGGGGAAGGTGAGGAGGCCAAGGGCAGCTGGACCGAGCCGCTGGACGGGGACGCGCCTGTCCCCATGCCTGCCCCGCCGCCCCGGCCTGTTTATTTGCTGTTTCCCACTGCCCTCTGGTGCCCGGCATGTGGCAGCCCTGTGGCACGGGCGGGACGTGTGGGGCCCCGGGGACGATGTGGCTTCTAGGGGCCAATGCGTGGCCAGGGACTCTGGATGTGGGGCCAATAGAGAGAGGCACCCTGGTGACTAGGGGCCAGTTGCCCAGGCTTCCACGCCTCAGCAGGGATGGCCGAGCCCAAGACCCAGCCTCGCCAGCCTCGCCACACCACCCTGCCTCACCTCCTTCCTTCCAGACCCCGTGCTTCTGTCAGTGCAGCCATAGCGTTTGGCAGCTCCAGCAGGACATGCTGGAGCTCACCCGGCCCAAGGTTTCAAGCCTCACAATGGGGAGGCCGCTCTCTCCCTCCCACCCTGCCTCCCTTCCCTGTGGGCTGGGATCGAATCCAGGGCCTTGAGCAAGCAGGCAAGTGCTTTCCCTCTGAGCTGCGTCCTCGGCCATTTTTGTTTTCTGCTTTGAGACACGGTGTTGCCCAGTCGCCTTGTTCCAAGTCGGGTTTGCGCTGTCCATCCTCCCTCTGCCTCTTAGGGCGCCGGGTGCTCAGCGGCTGGCCGCCAGCTCCTCACGCATGGGCGCCTCCCACCCTGCCCTCTGCCCCCTGACGTGGCAGCCACGCTGGCCAGACAGGCCAGGGGCCCCTTCCCTCCGAGCCACTCAGCCGCCCGGCCAGCTCGGGTAAACAGGACACCTGACCTCCTCCCGCCTCCCGCCCTGAGGGCCAGCGTGGCGGGGCCCTGAGAGGTCAGCACGACCGTCCCGTCCCCTCTGAGGCCAGTGGGCACCGGTGGGCTCCTCCACTCAGCAGGGAGGTGCTGTCCACGTCCCCCAGGCCCCTGCCCAGGGCTTCGGAGTGGGGGGCGGTCCTGCCCCAGGGGCTCCCATGGCCGCCATCCCACTCTCCTCCCTCCCTGGAGCCCCTCAAGGACAGGGCCAAGTCTTCTTCGCCTGTGGCAGCCCCAGTTTAGAAAGTGTCTGTTGGTGCAGGGTGAATGCCAGCATTCAGGAGGCTGAGGCAGGAGGATCGCTGCGAGTTCGAGGCCAGCCTGGGCTACACAGTGAGTTCAAGGCCAGTCTACACTACAACAGGAGACCCTGTTTCAAAAAACAAGACAAGACACAAACACAAGGACAAAAGCAAACAAAAAAAGCAGGAGTTCAGGGTCAGCCTGAACTATATAGCAAGACGCTGTCCCAAAAGAGAGTGTTTGCTGAATGAATAAGCCGGGAGCTTGGGGGTTCCCTAGCAGGAGCCCTGAGCAGTCCAGGGTGTCAGGGAGGGCCCATGGCCATCAGGGTCCCTTTCCAGGCCTCCCGGGGGCATCTGTCATGGGGACAGCGGCCCTGCCTGGGGCCCCTCCCATGGCCTCCCGGACGCCGGGGGCACTGGGACAGGGGTCTGGGAGGCAGCTGTGGGACAGAGGGTGTGGACATCGACTGGTGGCTTCCCCGCCTCCCCACCTTGGGTATTTAAGGTCTGTACGGAGCACGGCTGGGAGCCACCCCGGGGTGGCACAGATGGGCAGGCAGTGAGCACCTCCCAGTCCGCGCTGTCCATGGATTTTGTGGCTGGAGCCATCGGAGGTAGCAGGGAGCGGGACAGGGGACAGCGGTCAGCTTGGGCAGCAGTGGGGCTCCACATGGGCCCCGGGCGGGGAAGACCGGGGCCTGAGGGCAGCTGGGCTGGAGGCAGGGATGGGAGGTGGGGTGTCTCCGGTGTGGGCAGGGACAGCAGAGCCCTGGGAGGACGACAGAGCAGGGAGGATGGGCCCCCGGAGACCCAGCCCCTGCCCAGCAGGAGCGGGGCACACACTCAGCTCTCCTGGCCGGGCCCCTGTGAAGGCCTGGCTGGGAGGTGGCCGTCCCTGGGGACAGGTGAGGGCAGCCCCGATTCTCCTGCCATGGACCGAGGGCTGCAGAGCTATTTTGAACACTGCTGCTCTTGTGAAACCACAGTGGCGGCCTTGGAGCTTCTGGGAGCCATGCCCGCTCACAGCCCAGGGCTGACCCATGGCCCCAAGGCTGGCTGTGTCCCCTGCCGGGGGAGGAGCCCCAGGGGCCGGGAAGGGCTCTGGCTCGGGTCAAAGGGCCCCACTCTACGCCTGGCCCTGGGTAACAGGACAGACGTGGACCTTGTCCTTGAGGGAGTCTAGCTCTGGAGGTGGAGATGGTTGGGGGGTCACAGCAGCAAGGCCAGGTGACAAGGGCTCTGGTCAACATGTTTCCAGGCACAGAGGCAGCCTGGAGTGTGGAGTCAGGGAGGGCTTCAGAGGAGGAGATGTCATGTGGTGTTTGCAGGGCTTTGCTGGATGAGTAGGAGTTCAATGAGGTGTATGTCAGGTTGAAGGAAAGTCATTCTACCCACACTGCCGAGCCAGCTCTTTGGTTGATTTCACCCTCAATTCCCTCCTTCTGTCACCGCTGTGTCCTGGGACACACAGAAGGCGTGGCACAGCCACCTTATGCATCTGTGACAGCTTTCATCTCTATGATGAACTGTTCCGGCTGACCTGGAAGGACAGGTTTTGGTGCTGGCAGCTGGCTCTCAACATGGCTGTGAACCTTGCTTTGGTGCTCTGGGTGCGGCGGCACTCGGAGAGGGTCAGGCCAGCTGGCCACAGTGGACGACCACAGGGATGTGTGGCATGTCCCTGACACAGGACAACGGGACTGGCGCACTGTGCAGGACTGGGATGGGGATGGCCGGGGGGTGCCGGGCCTCAGCTTCCCCCTCTGGCTGTTGGGATGGGCAAGGCTGGTGGGGCCCAGGGAGCTGGGTGTGGGATCTGCTCCCATGGGCTCCCTGGGCCTCCTTGCAGGCGTCTGCGGTGTGGCTGTGGGGTACCCCCTGGACACAGTGAAGGTGCGTGAGCCCCGCCAGCCCCTCCCCTGTGCCTCGGGCTCCCCTCCTGGCCAGCCCGCTGTGCCTGCCCTGTCCTGTCCCCACCCTTCCAGAGCCCCTGTCTCCCCAGGTCAGGATCCAGACGGAGCCCAGGTATACCGGCCTCTGGCACTGTGTCCGGGACACGTACCGCCGGGAGCGGGTAGGTCTGGGTCAGGTGCTGGCTCGGAGTGGCACGGCCAATGGGGTCCTCAGGGCCAGTCCCGGGGCTGTGGGTCACAGAGGGGCTCACGGTGAGGGCCCTGCCTCAGCCTCAGCAGAGGGTCGGGACAGGGCAGCACGTTTCTGTCCCTCCCAGACCTTCCCTGGAGGGTGAGCTGGACAGCACCCCAAGGTCACTTCAGGGCTCAGTCTTGTTGGGGGACCCGGGACATTTACAGAAGGGGCTCTGTACAGGCCGTGGGTTAGTTACCTCAAGAAAAATAGCAATGAGAGAGTCAGGCATGGTGGCACACGCTTGTGATCCCAGCATCCAGGAGGCTGAGGCAGGAGGATCGAAATTATGGAGCATCTGGTTCACGGGCATCACCAGGCACTGCCTGGGTGGAGCCTGACCCCTCTGTCTCTCTTCAGTTCCTCACCGTGAGCTGGGCACTCTCACCCCTGTTTCAGAGCCGGGGCAACTGAGACAGCAGGTGACTGGCGGGAGGCAGCACGGCCAGGCCCCAGCTGACCTGGCTCCGTCTGTCCCCAGGTGTGGGGCTTCTACCGCGGCCTCTTGCTGCCTGTGTGCACTGTGTCACTGGTCTCCTCTGTGTCCTTCGGCACCTACCGCCACTGCCTGGAGCACATCTGCCGCTTCCGGTATGGCAGCACGGACGCCAAGCCCGCCAAGGTGGACATCACGCTGTCAGGATGCACCTCCGGCCTCGTCCGTGTAAGTGGAGCGCAAGGCGGGCCTGAGGCTCGGTGAGGGCAGGGCAGGTGCAGTGGGCACCACTGGGGAGGTGCCCGATCCTGCCAGGCTGGCCAGGCTCCTCTGCAGCACGCAGCATCGTGATGTCCCAGACGCCCAGTGCTGAGGGGAGGAGGGCACGACCGGGGCGGGGGGGTCTCCCTGGCCAGCGAGACAGGAAGTCACCCAGGGGCAGAGCAGGCCCAGGGGCTGGCCAGGAGAGCTTGGTCTTCAGCATGGGCACCAGGTTACCATGGGGAAGGGGTCTCCCTGCCTCCCTAAGGGCCCAGGGCAGACCCCCCCCAGCAGCTGGGCGGGGAGCACCCGGTCCAGCTCATGGTCGCTCACCGGCCACCCTGGGGACCGTGAACTGTGCGGAAGCAAAGTCACAGAGGCCGATGGCTGGCGACCCGCTCGGACCACGGGGGCTCTGTCCTGAGCCCTGCGTCACATGGCCCTGGGAGGCCAGGAGGCCTCTGCGCTCCCTCTTGTCTGAAGGGGCCACGGGCAGGACACGAGCACGCTCATTCTGTGCCAGGCCAGGTCCCAGTGCCCCTGTACCCCACATCCCTGGGACCCAGGCTCCCCAACACCCAGAGGCCAGGAAACTCAGGTCCAGGAGCCTCTTTGTCCCTCCCGACGCAGGTGTTCCTGACATCGCCCACTGAGGTGGCCAAGGTGCGGCTGCAGACGCAGACTCAGATGCAGCCGTGGCGCCCCTCGGCTTCGTGGCCCACGGCCGCCCCTCCTGTGTGTCCTGTGTCCCCTGTGTGTCCCGATCCCGGGCCCAAATACCGCGGGCCACTGCACTGCCTGGTCACGGTGGCCCGTGAGGAGGGGCTTCGGGGCCTCTACAAGGGCAGCTCCGCCCTGCTCTTGCGGGAGGGCCACTCCTTCGCCACCTACTTCCTCTCCTACGCCATCCTCTGCGAGTGGCTCACGGCCCCTGGCCACAGCCAGCCAGGTGAGGGGACATGGGAGGACGCAGGCCAGAGGGCCTGTGAGTGTGGCCGCACCCTGGTACCTGAGGGACCTAGGCCCAAGGCGGGTCCAGGGACGACCTGCTCATGAGAGCCTCTGCTCCCCACTGGCAAAGCCAGCTGGGCGGCAGAGTGAGCCCACCTGTCGCCCCTGCAGACGTGACGGGTGTGCTGGTGGCTGGCGGCTGTGCAGGGGTCCTGGCCTGGGCCGTGGCCACCCCCATGGACGTGATCAAGTCGCGCCTGCAGGCGGACGGGCGGGGCCCACAGCGCTACCGGGGCCTCCTGCACTGTGTGGTGAGCAGTGTGCGCGAGGAGGGCCCGAGGGTGCTGTTCAAGGGGCTGGTGCTCAACTGCTGCCGCGCCTTCCCTGTCAACATGGTGGTCTTCGTGGCCTATGAGGCCGTGCTGCGGCTCACCGGAGGCCTGTGAACCTAGGGGCTGACCCTGGGGGTCCCTCCCAGAGGCCACAGCCGGGAAGCCAGGGGGTGGCCACCCCACAGGGCCATGCCCAGGGCAGCGGGGCGCTCAGCTGAGGCCCCGACCACAGGAAGTCAAGGCTGCCCCTCCTCAGCCCCGGGTGGCCAGGGGTCCTCAGGGAGGAGCGCCTCTCTGGTGAGGGTGCAGTGGAAGTGACTGTCATTCGGCCATTTGTTCATGCCTGCTCCCACCGACCCTGCCCTTCAACCCAGGCTCAGCCTCTGCGGCCTTCAAGACTGTGGCCGAGGCAGCCTCACTGGTCTCTGCCAGTCTGGGGACTGCAGTGGTGAGGCTGCGCACTGGGCTCCGGGCTGGCTTGTCCCCTGCCTGGCCCAGGCTGCCCTGACTGTCCTGCAGGGACAGTTGTGCCCCCTGGACTGGGGCTGACACCCGGCCCTGCCTGGGACCATTACACTGCCATACACGCGGTGTCTGCCGGGTGAGCCTCAGGCTGTGCTCAATAAAAACGTTTCCCAGGATGCCTGGTGGTGCTGCTTTGTGGGGCTGGGGGCTGGAGAACGGTTCCTTCCCTATGTCCTCTGAAGCTGGCCCAGCCACCGCAGCAGGCGGAAGGCACAGGCTGGCAGCTCCTCCTGGTGGACGAGCCTTCCCACCTGTGGCTAGTGTGCCCACCTTGCAGACGGGCACACGGCACGCAGAGGCCTGGTCCCAGCCGGCTCCTTGCAGCGGCCCAGGCAGAGCCACCCTGCTGTGGGGATGGAGGTGGAGGCCAAGGGCACCTCACACGGGTATGCAGCAGCCCTGTGCCGGTGAGCAGACAGCTCGAGGCTGGGCATCCACAGAGGTGGCAGGTCGAGCATGGCCCTCTGGTGAGGCAGCTGACTTGGTCCACATCTACACACCGAATGTTGCCCCGTGTTCTGGCACAGAGGACTCCTGCTCTCAGACCCAGAGTGGCCACTCCAGGGTCTGCCCTGACACCTGGCCGCCTGGCCTCACACCCTGAGCCCCTGCTCCCTGCCCTCCACGGAGCCCTCCCACAGCTGGCCACACCTGGCCCAGGGCAGAGTTCCTAGGGCAGAGCTTTGGGTTTCTGAGTGTGACCTGACGGACAGGGCTGGGCTGGCCTGGAGAGCCGGAGATGCTGGTCAGAGGCCCGGTGACCCAGCACCCTCTGAGACCGTCGTCAAGGCCATGGGGGGCCAGCTACTGGTGGTGGCACCTGGCTCCTGCTGCTGTCCCAGGCAGTGGCAATGCAGGAAGGGCACCATGCGGCCTTGGACAAGTCGCGCTGAGCCTCAGTTTACCCACTTGCAAAGCGAGTTGGGCAGCAGAGAGAGCCCCCGAGCAGCCTGCTCCCAGCCTCTCCCACCTCTGTGCAGCTCTGCCTGGCACCCCGGCTGCTCTCGTGGTGCAACTCACTCACGACCTGGCTGCTGGGGTGAGCAGCACCAAGGAGATTGTTCCCGCGCCCAGCGTGAGTGGCGCCCGGCTGGCTCCTGGGGCTGCCGCTCAGCACACAGCCCCGGAGGTGCATTTTCCTCCCCAGATGTCACCTAAGAACCGGCAGGGCACCTGGATAGAGAACAACACATGGACAGGAGCTAGGGCCGGGGATTTAGCTCAGTGGTTTCTTCCTCTGCTGCACAAGCACAAGGGCCCGAGTTCGATCCCCAGTACCAAAAAAAAAAAAAAAGAAAAGAAAAGAAAAACACATGGACAGGAGCAAAGGAAGTTTATTCGACTTTGAGCACAGGGGGCAGAGCACCCCAGAGTGGACCTGTGAGCCCGGGGCCAGCTTCCACACCCAGGGCTCCCCCTGAGGTGGTGGCTGCTCTATAAGACTATGTGTGGAGGGGTCGGATGTGGCCACCCACAGGGAGGCTCCAGCCTGGGGCAGCCACGAGTGTCTCTAGCTAGGTCCACCAGCCTGGCACAGCTGGGCACTGCTCTGTGCTGACTTCCACTGCAGTCAAGTGTCAAAACAAAAGCATCTGCAAAGGTAACAGACTGTTACTGTCTCCTGCGGAAAGCGGCCTTTGGATCCTGCAGATGGAGTGCTCGGTTATTTGCTGGGAAATTGGCACATTAAGGGCAATGAGCATGATTCCTGGAGTGGATGACGTGCATGGTCTGGAGTCCACAAAGCCAGCGGGAGCTGAGCCACAGGGCTCAGTAAGGCGGCCTCGATTCCACCCACGGCCACTTCAAAGCGAATGAAAAGCCGGGTGATTTCTTCTTTGTGGCAGCAGGATGTGACCCGGGCCGCACTACTGTGGAGCCACACCGCACCGATTGTGGCCAAGCGCTCAGCAAAGCTCTTAGCGATCAGTTTCCTTTTGGGGGTATGGGCTCAACTGTGCAGTGCCTGTGAAACTTTCCACAGCACTTTTTAGACATTTTGGTTCACTCAAGACACACAGGGCAGTTTCCCGTGGAGTGGATTTTGGGTACGTTTGGAGTCCTAGCAGGTCTCTGGGGTGGCACGGACCCTCGTGGGGAGACTCCCGCTGGCTCCCCATCTGACCACGATGTGAGCCAGCACCCGACTGCCCACAGACAGGAAGCACAGGCGTCTCAGGGGGAACCCAATCTGTAACTCACGCAGGGCTTGCAGACGCCAGGAATTACCAGGGGACAGAAGCCTGGGGGGAGGCTGGGGCTTGGACGGAACCCGGATTACTCACAAATTAGGTGTCACGGGCACCAGAGGACGTGCATTACTGGAAGTGGAAGGACAGCTGCCGGGGGGTCATGAACTCTTTCACCATCTCGTCAGTGACCTCCTTGCGCCGGGCCTGGTGCTCGGCGATCAGCGGCTGCAGGATGTCTATGAGAGCCTTCTTGAGCTCGCCAGTGAGCATGGCGCCGCTGGTGTAGTCCTGCGGGAAGGAGCCATGCATGCGTGACAGGGCCCTGGGCCCCAGCCGGCACAGCTCAGCCTGGCTGCCACTGCGCACTGGTGTGGGGAGTTTGGAGGCGCAGCAGGCCGAACTGTGCACAGTGACACCTCTCTCCTCGGGACCCGTGCCTGGCCTGTCCCACCAGGCCTGTGACTGTCCCTCTCAGCCTTACCAGCTCCTAGGAGATCTCTGCTGACTTCCTCCCAACTGTGAACACCCTGCTCAACCACAAAGCAGCAGCGAGGTACATGGTCACCTGCAATGCACTACCCAGCAGCAGACGGCCACCGCTAGCATTTGGGGAACTTACTTTCTTTCCTTTTATTGTTTTTGTTGCAGTGCTGGAGGTTGAACGCAGGGTCTTGTGCATGCTGGCAAGTACTCTACCAGTGAGCTACAGCCTCAGCCCTTGGTGCTTTTTATTTGCAACAGGCAAAATAAAATGCTCCTTTCAGCTCTTGACCCTTCTGCCTCAGCCTCCTGAGGAGTTGGGATTAGAGTGTGCACCACCACATCTGGTTAAAAAACTCTCTTAAGTAGCTCACATTTGCATAATAAGCCACCTGCAACACTTCTTATTTAACATTTCCTCAGTTTGCTGGCTACTCCCCACATCTTTAAATGGGAAGCTTTTATTCCATATTATTTCCTTGGAAAAGACTCCAAGACTTGAAAATCCGAGGCCAAGGTTCAGAGCCTTTTTGGGGTCAGCGTCCTGCTCTCCTCACATGGACACCCCTGTCAACTGCTCAGGGCCCTGAAGTCATGGCCTGCAGTGTGAGCCTCCTAACCCCACCAGCAAGCGGCGCGGGCACCTAGGAGACCGCTCAGTGCTTCCTGCAGGGGTGCACTAGCGCCCCACCCTGGCCTCATGCGCCCCGCCCGGCTCACCTTCCGGATCTGCTCCAGCCTGTCGTCATCCTCCAGGAAGAAGGTCAGGTACATGAAGGACACATCCACGTCACAGTTGCCCCCAAACTGGCGGTGCTCCTCCACAGTGTCTCGGCCTCCCGAGAATGCGTGCTTGTTGACCTGCACACAAGGGGCACGGTTGGGTCACTGCGCGTCCACGGGGCACAGGCCTGGAGGTCGTGCGGGGCGGGATGCAGGTGAGTGCAGAACCCTCCAGGCCCAGAGCCACAGGATGGCAGCCGGAAACACAGGTGCACCCAGGTGCGGCAGAGTCCCAGTGCTCCCAGGGGAAGAGTGTCAGAGGACCAAGTGGCAAAGTCTCCTTCACAGGGCACTGGCCAGGAAGGGCGGTGATCCCGGGCCAGGCGGTGACAGAAACCCTGCACCTGACCCCAGCGTGGAAGTGAGAAGAGGGCGTGAAGACGGCCACTAAGGGGATGCCAAACCCACCAAATGTGAGGGGGCGGAGGGCCTGTGGCCATCTCTGCTCAAAAACATGTGAAGTTCCAGGTGCCGAGGAAAAACTCAGAAACTAACAACATGGAGCTGGGCATGGTGGCCCAGACCTGTAGTACCAAGGAGGCTGAGGCAGGAGGGTTCAAGCAGTTCTCCTACCTCAGCCTCCTTGGATGGCCGGGGGCTGAGAGGACAGACACTAGGAGGGGAAGTTTATCTCCATTGTCCTGAAAGGCATGAGGCCCAGGGTTCAATCCTGAGCACCTCCCTAAAGAAGTTATAAAACAACCCCACAAAATCGGAGTACACATTCTTTTCTGCTGCATACAGGTCATTCTCCAAAATAGACCACATGCTAACTCATAGGACACGTTTAAGTAAATGCCCAGGAAGTGAAGTTATCCCCTGTATATTATCAGATCATAGTGCAATTAAATTGGAAATCAATAGCCTAAGAAACCGCAAGAACCCCACAAACACATCAAAATTGAGTAACACGCTCTGGAATAACTAACAGGTCACAGAGGAAATTAAAGAAGAAATTAGACAGTTTCTATAATTAAATGATAATGCCAGTACAACATATAGGAACCTATGGGACACAAATGAAAGTAGTTCTACGTGGGAAATTCATAGCAGTGAATGCCCGTATTAGGAAAATAGAGCGAGCTCAAACAAATAACCTAATGTACAACCTCAAGCTCCTAGAAAAAGAAGAGCCTAACAAACCCAAAGCTAGTACAAGGGAGGAAATTATAAAGATCAGAGCAGAAATAAATGCAATGGACACTAAGAGAATGATACAAAAAAAAATCAATGAATCGAAGGGCTGGTTCTTTTTTTTTTTTTGGTACCAAGGATCGAACTCGGGTCCTTATGCTTGCAAGGCAAGCAATGGAACCACTGAGCTAAATCCCTGGCCCTAGTTCTTTTTTTTTTTTTTTTGGTACCGGGGATTGAACTCGGGTTCCTGCGCTTGCGTGGCAGGCAGCGAAACCACTGAGCTAAATCCCCAGCCCAAAGAGCTGGTTCTTTGAAAGAATAAAATTGACAAACCCTTAGCCAACCTTAACAAAAAAAGGAAAGAAAAGGCTCAAATCCATGCAATTAGGAATGAAAAAGGTGAAGTCACAACAGATCCCGCAGAAATACAGAGGATCATCAATACCTACTTTGAGAACCTGTACTCTAATCAAATGGAAAACACAGAAGAAATGGATAGATTCCTAGATACATATGAGAAGTGATGAAGACATAAAAGTTGAATGAAGAAGATATAAAAATTCTAAACACCCAAATTACAATCCATGACATTGAAAATATAATTAAAATTTTCCCGACAAAGAAAAGCCCAGGTCCTGATGGCTTCACTGCTGAATTCTACAAGACATTTAGAGAGGAACTGCTGCCACTACTGTTTAAACTCTTCAATGAAATTGAAAGGGAAGCAAGGCTTCCAAATTCATTCCTGGAAGCAAGTGCTACTTTGATTCCAAAAGCTGAGAGAGACCCAACCAAAAAAGAGAACTACAGGCCAATCTCCCTAATGAACACAGAAGCAAAAATCCTCAATAAGATACTGGCAAACAGAATAGAGAGGGTCATCAAGAAGATCATACACCCTGACCAAGTGGAATTCATCCCAGGGATGCAAGGATGGTTCAACATACACAAATCAATAAACACTATATTAACAAAGCCAAGGACAAAAACCATATGATCATCTCAATAGATGCAGAAAAAGCATCTGACAAAAATCCAACACACTCGCCTGCTGTGCAAGCGCAAGGACCCAAGTTCAATCCCCTATACCAAAAAAAAAAAAAAAAAAAAAAAAATCCAACACCCATTCATGATAAAAACCCTGAAGAAATTGGAATAGATGGTTTTTATCTCAACCTGATAAAGGCTATCTATGAAATACCAAAAGCCAGCATCATACTTAATGGTCAAAAATTGAAAACCTTCATGCTAAAATCAGGAACAAGACAAGGATGTCCCCTATCCCAACTCCTGTTCAATAGAGTTCTGGAAACATTAGCCACAGCAATTGGAAAAGAGAAAGAAATAAAAGGAATAAAGATAGGAAGAAGTGAAACAGTCATTATTTGCTGACAACATGATACTTTATATAAAAGACCCAAAAACCTCCGTCAAAAGACTTCTAGACTTAATTGGCAGATTCAATAGAGTAGCTGGATACAAGGTCAACACGCAAAAATCAATAGCCAGGCCGGAGATTTAGCTCAGAGGTTCTACTGCCTGCCTCGGAAGCACAAGGTCCTGAGTTTGATCCCCGGTACAAAAAAAAAAAAAAAATCAATAGCCTTCTTGTACACAAATAACACTCAGGGCCAGGGATTTAGCTCAGTGGCATTGTGCCTGCCTCACAAGTGCAAGGTCCTGAGTTCAATCCCTGGTACAAAAAAAACCCAATTCCTTTCACAATAGCATCCAAAAAAATGAATTATCTAGGAATCAATCTAACCAAGGAAGCAAAAGTCCTCTACATTGACAACTACAGCACTCTGAAAAAAGATATGAAAGAGGATATAAGAAAATGGAAAGACATCCCATTTCTGGGTAGGAAGAACCAATATAGTGAAAATGGCCATATTTCATAAAGTGCTATATTGATTCAATACAATCCCGATTGATCCCAACAGTTTATTTCACAGAACTAGAGAAAACAATCCAAAAATTCATTTGGAACCAGAAGAGACCTAGAATAGCAAAAGCAATACTAGGGAACAGAGACATGGCAGTGGATACCACAATCCCCAACTTGAAATTATACTACAAAGCCACTGTGATAAAAACAGCATGGTACTGGCAAACAAACAGACCCAAGGATCAGTGGAATTGATTAGAAGATGCAGTCACAACTCCAGACATATTCAGCTGCCTCATCTTTTTTTTTGGTACCGGGGATCGAACTCTGGTCCTTATGCTTGCGTAGCAGGCAGCAAAACCACTGAGCTAAATCCCTGGCCTGTCTCATCTTTGACAAAAGAGCCAACCACCCTCATTGGAGGAAAGATAGCCTCTTTAACAAATGGTGCTGGAAAAACTATTTCAATCTGCCAAAGATTAAAACTAGACCCATATCTTTCACCATGCACTAAACTAAAATCAAAGTGGATTAAAAATCTAAATATTAAGACAGAAACACTAAGGCTGGGCGTGGTGGCACACACTTGTAATCCCAGCACTTGGGAGGCAGAGGCAGGAGGATTGCCAGGAGTTTGAGGCCAGTCTGGGCTACAAAGTGAGTTCAGGGCCAGCCTGAACACAAAGTGAGATCTTGTCTCAAACAAAACAAAACAAATCCCCCCTCCGCACAAAACCCAGAAACACGAAACTTGCTGGAAGATAAGTTAGGTGGAACTCTTGAAGACATTGGGATAGGAAAAGACTTTATGAGCACAACACCTCAGTAGCACGGGAACTAGCACAAAGAATCAACAACTGGGATCTCATCCTATTTTTTTTTTTAGAAGAAAAAGGAGGAGGAGGAAGAGAAAGAGGAGCAGGGGAAGAAAAGGGGGAGGAGGAAGAGAAAGAGAAAAAGAAGAAAGCAAAAACAAAAAGCAACCCGCCATTTTTCTATAGCAGGATTCAACCCAATCCCAATTCAGCCACGTAGCCTCTTCCAAACCTGCCCTTGCCTCTGCTCAGCATGCACTGGGGCCCTCCCACCTCTGCCCTTCCTGAGGCTGTCCTGGCTTGAAGGCCTCCTCCAGGAAGCCTTCCCAGAGACCTGGCCCAGGTGAAGTCCCTGAAGAACCTCCCTATTTCGTTTGTTTGTTTTGGGGACAGGATGTCCCTATGCAGTTCAGGCTGGCCTTGAACTCACTATATAGCCCAGGCTGGCCTCAAACTTGTAGCAATTCTCCTTCCTCACCCTCATGAGTGCTGATATTACAGGCACCACCACACCTGGCTAAACCTGAAGATAATTTTATACAATACTGTATTTTTAGTCATTTTGTGCATGCAATAGAGTTTGGTGGTGTGGAATTTACCATCGGTGGCATCATGTCAGAGCTCAATAAACTTTAGGTTATGAACAAGATGTGGTGGTTCATGCCTGTGATTCCAGCCCTCTGGGAGGCTGAGGCAGAAGGATCGGATCTCATCTTATTAAAAAGCTTCTGAGCTGCAAGAGAAACCACCAACAGAGCTGAGAGACAACCTACAATGTGGGAAAAAATTTTTTATCAGCTACACCTCAGACAAAGGACTACTATCTAGAATATATAAAGAACTGAAAAAAAATCAGACCTCCCCAAATATAAAGACCCAATTCAAAAATAGGCATCTGATTTCGCCATCGGCTGTGCAAGCGCAAGGACCCTAGTTCGATCCCCGGTACCAAAAAAAAAAAAA